GTTAGTACGCAAATGAATCCACCAAATGTCCAAACAACAGAGATTACGAATGCATATGGTTTACATATCTGGCAGACTATCGTCGTTAATTAAACGTAAGAAGGGATAGTTTTTCGGCATAAACAAAACAATCTCTTGCAAATTATGCAAAAAGGCGGTCCTCATTAACAAATATGTCTTTCATGGCAGCAGGTGGACTGCCGAGGATCGTCGCAATTTGCACGTCCTTATATGAGTTAGCAAGAAAAACATACACATGCACCGGGTAATCGTTGACTATCTTGGTAAAAAGTCTATCACGTAGAGTTAGCAACGTGGGACTACGGCATGCGCAACTGCATCTTCTACAAAGATATTGCACTGGGCACATGATAGTTCACAATAAGGTGGAATACCCCATAGCTTTGCAACGTTTTTACACGTTGTGTTGAGATTAGGGAAACATTTGGATAAGTACCATAGTGGCGAAGGGCTGATCTCACACTGTAGGTGTTTAAATCTTAAGAGCTCATCACAAGCATTGAGACGTTCGCTCCTGTGCAATGAGTACTTGCCTAATACGACACCTTTTGTAAAGTGTTTCCAGTAGTTTTTAACCGGGAAAACCCCAGTTTGCAAAAATTGGTACAAAAAGTCTTGTAGATCATATTTGTGAAGTATGTGCCAGGTTTCTAAAACAAAACCTTTTCCGTTACAACAAATGCTAAAATATACATGAAATAATCGCAGTAAGAACAATCTCTTTGCTGTAAAACGTGCATCTGTTCTGCATAAAGCAGAGAAGAATCGAAGTTCCGATAACTCAATGTTTAGACGTATGGGCGTAAGTCCAAGCATACTAAGGACAATATCTGATACAGTGCGCCGCGGAAAACCTTGAATGAGCTTTGCACGCAAATTGTGAACTGTTTCAATGCGATTCCATTCGGTCTCGGAGAGTGAATACCAGAGTTCACCGCCAAAAAGGCTACTTGGCATGACAATTGTTTTATACAGCTTAGCACCGGTCAATGGGTTGATTCAAGTACCAAATAAGTTACAGTTAAGCAAGGCAAAACATTGACCACGTAGCTTGTGAACAATCTCATTGACATCTGGATAGCCTGGTTTGAACTTGTTCAAAAATATACCGACATGCTTACAATGTATAGATTAAGGGAGAGCTTCGTTGCCGAGACTCTGTCTACGTGTTATCTTTGAAAAGACACTTTTGCTTTCATTAGAAACAATTACGGTAGATTTTGATGCGTTGTAACTAAATCGCCACTTACAACTGTAGCAGATGTCCACGAGACAGTCCAAGCCACGTTTACAAAAAGACAGAAGGGTAATATCATCTGCTTGAGTTGGACATGTAACATTACCACCATGTATAAGTAAAGAGTACTGTGAAGCACATAACTCATCCAGAAAATCATTAATAAAAACTGTATACAGCAAGGGAGAAATAATGCTTCCCTGACGCGTACCTTGGCATATCTTAAACCAGTTAGAATAAAATCTTTGTGCAATACTGCGCTGTACATATTTGAGTATAATGAAACAATGATATTGATATACTTTGACTTTAGACCTAAACTGTGAAGTTTAAGAAAACAGGCCGTTATGCCAAACACAGTCAAAAGCTTTGGCACCATCAAGAAAACATGTAAAAAGTTTACTGTTATTATAACACGTCATGAGTCAATGCCCTCACCATTACACCCTATAACAACAGAGTCAATG